TGAACCCTTAGCAGTCGGTTACAGGAGCCACCACTGTAGCCCCTCCCTTGCTGCCAGAGCAGACTTGGAGCTAGGGGAACTCTGAGCAGTTACTTACACGGGGTGCCACTGCAGCCCATCCCTTGCTGCCAGCAGAGCTGGAGTCCAGGGAAACCTTTAGCAGCTGCTTACAGGAGCCATTACTGTGGCCCCTCCCTGCTACCAGACAAAACCCCCCCCCCACAAAACCATAATAGCTGTAGACTTGAAAGAACAGAAGACCACAAATCTTGTGCCCTCTTATGGCTCTAAAACTGAGGAAGTTGTATTATGGTAATTCAAACAGAATGCTGATGAGAACAGTAGCTATTTTGCATCTGCAGCTCTGATCAATGTGCCACAATTGCAGGGGAGTAGTGGAAGAGCTGTTGCTGGACTGAATCTGAGCAGTTGAATTGCATGCTGTCACCTACACACTGTGAAACTGTTTTGCATGATAATCTGATGCTTACTGTGTTGCACAGGCTGTCAAAGTAGTTGGCAATTTAATAGCTTACTGTTGTGGTCTCTTAGGATGACTTGCCTCGTGTTAAAGTAGAAATTGGTGCCATGAAGAACTTAAGTCACCAGCATATTTGCCAGTTGTATCACGTGATAGAGACATCCAAGAAAATATTCATGGTCCTAGAGGTAAGAAATGGTGTTTCTGCCATGGCGAAGGTTCCTGGGTTTAGCTGTAGCAGGAGATGATAACAGAGCTCAAATGAAAGAATTCTTAGAAAGTTATCTCAATGATAAGCATGTTCAAGGGGCTTTAGTTTAAAAAAGAAGCTAGTAACACATTCTGTGTTCTAACCTGTAAAAACCACTCTTCACCGTTTGCCGTAAGTGAAATAACTTTAACTCCTACCTTGCGCTTCATCTACTTTTAAAATAGCGTCATCAGGATTCGCGGGACCCCAGAACTCCTGCGTGGTTGTCACCTCCTAGGCAATCTGTATCACCTGTGACATTAGCGTAATGTTTCTGTTGCAACATGACAGGTAAGAGTCTGTATTCTCCTCCTGTTTTCTAAATGTGTTCTCTTTTTCCTGTCTTCTTGCAGTACTGCCCTGGAGGAGAGCTGTTTGACTACGTAGTTTCAAAGGACCGCCTTTCGGAAGAGGAAGCTCGTGTATTTTTTCGACAGATTGTTTCAGCAATTGCTTATGTTCACAGTCAGGGATATGCTCACAGGGATCTCAAACCAGTAAGTCTCAATAGTAGACAGATTTGCTTAAATCGTAATTAACACCCAATTTTATATTTCCATTAGGAGTCAAAGTAAGTTACGCCTTCTCCATTCTCTTGTCTTTAGAGCTCTTTAGCTGTCGTCTTTTGAAAGAGCCTTATTTGTACTTGCTACTACATTCCTCAGCTGAGCTGGTTGTGACTATATCTGAGGAAGGAGCTTCCTCTGAAAGAGAAGCAGAACAACACGCTCCAGCTGGGAGAGGAGCAGAGATGTGGATCTGATTTTGAATGTTGCTTAGGTGTTTTTGTTATCCTCTTTATGCCAGCTGGTACCTGGAGAGTATCTTTATGGTGCCACTCTGTTTTGCCAACTGTTCTGTTTTCACATCCTGTGGGGAGCAGGTAGTTGGACTCAGTCATCCTTATGGGTCCCTTACAACTTGAGATATTCTATGATCCTAGGATAGTTTAAACAAATGGTGGCTAGGCAGAGGGTGCAGGGGGAGATACATGCTACTGGACCCATCCTGTGGCTTTGCTGTCATTACAGAGTTAAATTACAGGTTTAGGGAATTGAAGACTTGAGTCCATTTCTCCTTGAAGGGGTTAGAAATGTGGATTTTCAGAGACGCTGATGTCTCTGACAAAAGCAAATTCTTAGTGCACAGATGTTTTCGTAGGCATCTCATGAAATCTTTGTCTCCAAAGAACTTCTTCCCAAATGAAGCATTGCATCTGCCTTTGGGAAGGAGTTGGCTTTTATCTGGAAAGCAGAGATTCATAGGATCATGGGAGAACTTGGGTGGGAAGGGACTTCTAGAGGCTTCTGCTTGAACCTCCTGCTCAAAGCAGTGTTAGACCAACCTTACTCCAGTTTGATATTGTTCCTGTGATGGGGGGCAGAAACTAAGTGCACTGTTCTAGTTGGGCTGAACAGAGGACTTAGAGTAAATTCCCCAAATCTACTAGCTGTGCTCTGTTTAATACAGTCCCTGATGTTGCTGGCCACCTGTTCTGCCAGAGCAGACTGCTGCCTCACATTCAGCTTGCTGTCTGTCAATCCCCCCACCTCCAGCCCTTCTCAGCAGACAGGAACTGGTATTCACCATCTGGAATATGGTATATATTTCTTAGAGACCACTCAAAATCTCCAGAGGAGAGCTGTAGGTAAATTCTAGCTGCTATTGATGAGAAGAAATAAGGTGAAAGAAAATGTTGTTCTTTGGATACTTAGGTCATAGAAGCCTTACCTATCGCTTTCTCTTTTAACAGGAAAATCTGCTGATTGATGAGGATCATAATTTGAAGCTGATAGACTTTGGGCTTTGTGCAAAGCCAAAGGTAGGCGTATCAGTTGCTTTCACAGAGTAGAGCTAAATCGGCTACAGCATAAAAAAATGCATGTTTGGCTTCAGAGTGCAATGCAGAGACTTGCCCGAAGACCCCAAAGTCATGCTGTTTGCAGAGTCATCAGACAGTCCCTAACTACTTGGCAGGGTGTCCTGGGTTCAGCTGGGACAGAGTTAACTTTCTTCGTAGTAGCTACTGAGAGGCTGTGTTTTGGATTTGTGCTAAGAAGAAGCGTGATAACACTGATATTATAGTTGCTGCCATGCCAGTAAAGGTCGCTTCAGCTTCTCTGCTGTGCCCATGTCTGCAGGGGCAGGAGAAGCTGGGAGGGAGCGCGGTCCCAGTTACTAGCCTAGGATTTGGTCTTGAGTTTACTATTGAGACCCAAACTGGCCAAAGCAAAACTTAAGGTGAATGTAGACGTGCAGCTGAGGAAAATGAAGCCTCTGAGGCCTCTGATATGTTGTCACTAGAAGTCTTAAGCTATGTTAAAGCCAGTGCTTCTGTGTGATCTGTTTTCTGTTATCCTAGGGTGGCCTTGATTACCACCTGAAGACATGCTGTGGAAGCCCAGCTTATGCAGCCCCAGAGCTGATTCAGGGCAAGGCGTATATTGGCTCAGAGGTATGCAGCACAGTTTGGGTTAGGGTTTTTTTTTCCCCTCTATATATTTAAAGGTGGTGGGGTTCAAATGTGCTCGCTTGGTTTCTCTTAAATACTGCTGGATAAGATTGCCTGGGTAGTTCTCAGAAGGTGTGTGACTAGCCTGGACTGTCACAGCCTGGAATAACATGTGGTGCTCTTGGACACAGATCATGGAGCTGGCTAGTTTGTTTCTGACTAATCTTTCACCATCTCCATTTGTTGCTCCATATTGCAGTGCCCTACAGAACAGTATCTTAAATTCCTTCCTTCTACTGCACGTTCTTTCAAGCAGCGATTTATTCTGTTAATTGTCCAACTCTTGTTGCAAATTCTTGTGTGGTCTCTGTATCTTGTATGCCTTACTAGGCCTGGCTTTAGCATGAAAGTTGTTCATGAAAACTTGCTCTTTACACTGCACAGTATAGTAGAATTTGAGAGAAGAAAAAATGTGAGTTTATCCAGCTTTGATTCCATGTCTAGAACATTAGGACTTGCTACTTGTCTTTGTCAATCCATCCAAAATGCTGTAATTTCAATCCCCTCAAACTCCCTAAACTGCTGTGCTGTTGGATGGAGTCGGTCTTTTTTCCTTTGTGCAACTGTCCTTGCCCTCTTAACTCCTGCTTTCTTTTTTGGAAGAAGCCGTAGGCTTGTTGTAATCAGTAATACACTACCATATGAAATCCCCTGTGATGAGTTTGATTTCATTTCTGCCAGTGAAATCTTTGTAGATTGAAGGTAACACAGCAATTTGGTGACCTAAGGAGAGGATATTGGTTTTCCTAGTGCTCTAGCTTAAGTGAATTGAAAATTGAATTTGGGTTTTGTGCTTTCACTTGGAACACAAGAGTTCTGTCCAGAATTAAGGAGCCTGCTTTTCGTGAGTTGTATGTGGGCTTTGACAAATGGGGACAATGCTACCTGTCTCTTTAGATAGACCAGGTTCATGACCTTCCACTGGCTTTTATTTTTTAGGCAGATATTTGGAGCATGGGAGTACTGCTGTATGCTCTGCTGTGTGGCTTTCTCCCCTTTGAAGATGACAATGTCATGGCTCTCTACAGGAAGATAACAGTACGTATTGATGGTGCTGGAACACACTGGGAGCAGACATTGCTGAGGATTATGAGAGGCCTTTGCTTTTCTGATGGCAGAACCTGTTGAGCTGTGCCTAGGGCAAAAGCACATCTGCTGAATTTTGTTCCTCTTTGCTACTTTTCCTATCAACGTTTTGGGGATTTGTTTCTACCCTCTTCCACAGGCCTCTGCAGTGCTCAAGCTTCATCCCGTAATCTGATAGGAAGCTGGGTTTCAGGAGAAGCATTTTCTTGCTGGTGGGCTGGATTTTTGTATCTGAGCCTTTATCTGGCTTCTCCTTGTATGGAATAGAGTTGCAAATTTGATTTACCAGAAAAAGTTTTTAAATGTCAGCTATCCTCATGTCTAGGAAAGCAGGATTCTGCATCTGCTATTATGCTTTCCTCATCCAAAATGAGGAGGAAATGTAAGACAGAATAATCAACAGAAAAAGTTGAATAAATTGTAAGTAATTAAATGGTTCTGCTTCCCTGCAAACTCCTTCTGACACAGCTAAACAGCTGCTGTTCCACACCATACAAACACTTCTATGAACCCCTTCTAAGCTGCCATAAAACCTATGTTGATAAAGCTTCCAGCGAGTGAGTGGAGTGAGGAGCAGCTGTGTTGGGTAAGGGCTTTGGCTTCCTCTACCTCTTTCTCCTGTCATCCAGAGTCTGATATATCTAAAAAGCCCCAAAGAACTCTTCAGGAGTGTTCAAGGACTACTCTGGTAGGAGGCAACTGACAGCTGATCTTCACAGGGAATATTTTCGGGGTCCATTGCAATCAGAGCTCTGTAAAGTGCAGGATTAGCTCATCAAACAGTGTGGCTTTTTGGTCTGGATTTGTAGTGGATTTGAGTACCTTGACAGAAGATCTGTAGGAAGGTCAGTTTGAGTTGCAAAGAACTTAAAAAAAAAAAAAAAGGAAGCAATGAGAAGCTGATCCAGGGAGATCCGGTAAAGGTGCTGATATTCTGATGAATCACCATTAAAATGATAGGACTTTCCTGCTTGCACAATCATAGAGTAGCTTGAGAGGCCAAGTTTTAAAACTTGGTTTGAGTGTAGCTGAAAACTGATAATGTCACAGGTGCTAAGATGCAGGCTTGCTGTTTCCACTCTGAATTTGTTTTATGTGGTTGTGAACTGAAAATTGCTGAAATGAGGATGCTTACACACTATTGTGGAAATTAATTTCACATGTTATAGAGCCTGAAATTTATTGTAATCTCAATTTAGAACTATTGTTCCAAACCAATGTAGTAAGCTGCTGCTTGATTTTAATTAGGATTGTATGACTTACACGCATTTTACCCTGGAATGTTCCACATTTCTTTGTTTGGGAATACCTGAATAAACGCCTTTACTTTTTGAATGCAAAATCAAGCTGTGATGTAACTTTTGTAAAAAAATGTTGTTTCTGGTGTGATTTTATGTCTCTGGTAGCTATTGCAAACTATTTACTTTCCAGCATTGCACTCAGTCAAGTAGATGCTAACTTTGTTTTCCTTGTCTCATGTCCTGTAGCAGTATATTAAAAACAAAATGCAGATTACATGTTTTACCTTATTTGGCTTCATTTCGGAGTAAAGCTGCATTGTGAAACAGCCTTCAAACTGTTTATAAATAGCTCATTAGTAGTGTCTGTAAATATGTAACTTAAATTCTTTAACCTATGATAATAAAGCAATGCATACTCTGGTTAGAAATGTATGTTGCATGTAATACCAACTGTTTTGTTATTGAGGCTTTTCTTTGTAGAAGGAAAACTACTGTGACAAGTTGATAGTTATGTTATTTCACAATGGTTGTTTGCTGATTTTTTTTTTTCTCCGTTTTCCTTGAGAAGTAAGTGATCCTTGATGGTGAATTTGGTTTGTTTTTTTAGCTACTGTTGTTGTTTTACCTCAAATCTGAAGGCCATTTTCAGTTTTGTTCTAATCAAGAATTTTAAAAAAGTAAATAATTTGATCGAAAGAAACTTAACCTGTTAGATCTGTAGCCTTTTTCCTGTCTGCAGAATGAGTAGAGGTAGAAATTCTAGCATTAGATGTAACATAGTCAAGAAAAGAAATGTTGAGGATGGTTTATTTTTAGTGTCTGAGAAGTAGTGATTCCAATGAATATTCACATTTCAAAGTGCCAGTATCAGTCGTGCTTCAATATGTTTGCACTTCTAAAACTTCAGTATCCAGTTGGTATGATGAAACAATGCGATAGGTAGGGAGCAGGTTAGCTGCAGAAGTAGGTGAAAATGTCACATAAGCTGAGTGGGTGAAAACTGCAGCTGATAATTCAAACACAGCATTTTCCTTCCTAATACAGCTGGGTTTTAGTGCTACCGTTAAATTTATTCAAGTCATTCTTAAAGCTAAGTTTGCATGTGCCTGCTGTTCTTCATTTTTGACTGAATACAGATGTCGCTATCATAAAAGTAATTGGCAGTTCCTTTTGAGCTAGCTATTCAAGGTTTGTGATTATCCTCTTCTTTTCTGCAGAGAGGAAAGTACAGTATTCCGAAGTGGCTCTCTGCTAGCAGTACGCTACTGCTTGACCAAATGCTGCAGGTAAAGGTATTGCTTCTGTTTGGTAGTACTATTTGGTATATTCTGTTTGGTGGTACTGTTCCATTGGTTAAAACATTACATAGATGAAATACTTAAATATTCAGTGTTTAGACAAGAAGTTTAATTCTTACAAATTTTTGAAGAAAATATTAGTATTGCCTTCTGCTGAAAATTCTTTGAGAATAATTATTTGGTATAGAAATAATTAAGCAAAGTTTAAATGATAAAACAAAGCCTTCAAGCAGCCTGCATTTGGTTGTTCTTAATTTTGCTGTATAAAAGCTGTTTTATAAATGAAGCTAAACACACTGAATACGCATTGGGGCTACATCTAAGCAATCTAGACAATGCTAAATACTCCTGGAACACTTATTGTAGCTGTAGGCTCTGTGACTGCTTTCCATAGCTCACGTGTTTGACCTTCCTTTTGGTGAAGCGCTGAAGCAGTATTGGTTTCCATTTGAGCTTCTAGCCACCCTAAAATTCTGAGTAGAAGACAAATTGTTTCCTCAGTTCTTCTCGATTATTTATGCATCAGTTTGATTTTTATTGCCCTCAGGTGAATCCGAAGAAGCGGATTACAGTTAAACATCTACTAAGTCACCCTTGGCTCATGGAAGGTTATTCTGATGCTGTTCAGTGGCAAAGTAAATATTCAGTAAGTACGCTTGTCAGACAAACACAAAAGTACTTGATGTAATCTTTACCATCTTGCTACTGTTCTCGCAGCATGGGCGTGTGAAGACATTTCTCCAGAGAGGGACTCTGAGATGGCCCATGGCTCCTTTCTGATTCTTTTTGCTGTCAAAATGTTGTTACTTTCTCTTGATTTCTCCTGGGGAGGAATTTCAAATGTATTTTCATTGTATTCTGCAGCTGATGCTTAATTTGGAAAATAACTGACTTCTCACCAAAATGTGGAGTATAGAGCATAGAAATGACAACTTGTTTCTCCAGGCTGCTTGGTCAATACTTTTAAGGTGCAAAATGCAAATATTTTGGAGAGCATGTTAGATGTGATTATGGTTTGTCTTATATCTAGTCCTCACTGAAAACTGCTAGTTTGGATAAAAATTTGACATCACTGAAGGTATGTTCCTCATGTCTCTCTATCACTTGTTTTACTTGTGTGAGAGATTAAGGTAGAATGGAGGGGGGGGAAAAATAAAATAATCTAGCTGTCAGTAGTAAGAATGGAGAAGTTGCTGCATGTTTGCAGCCAATGCCTCGCTTTGGCCACTGGATGCCACTGTTTCTCCAGATAATGAACAGCTGGACTGTGCCTGCAGCATCAGTTCTAGAGCCAGCTGGAAAATATGTGCATGTCTGATAGCTCCGAATATTTAAGCAGAAATGAAAGTGTAGCTTCCATTCTAGTAAAAATCTCATCTACTGTCAAGCTTTATTTGAATTCACAACCTCTTGCCAAGGAGGGACCAGTCTGTGGAGCTGTTGAACTTGTGTGACTCTTTCAGTGTATTCCCTACAATATTTAGCTATGGTGCTAACTATTCAAAATAAAAGGTTTAAACTAATGGTTGATTGACTCAGCCAACTGGGTTTCATGACAGTGTTACAGTCAAATATGGATTATGACAACTTGAAAGCCTTGTACTTCAATATCCATTATGTTCTTGCAGCTGGGACATCTTGATGAATACTGCATAACAGAGCTTTCCATGTTTCATAAACTGAGCAGCGAGACCATATCAGAATTGATATCAGAGGTAAGTATATATCAGCAATTTACACTAATACAGAGAACAAAGTTACTGTATTAACAGACTAATACTCAGTTATTCTCAAGTATGAGATTTTTAATACTTTTCAGAATTAAGGATCACCTGCAGAACTCCAGAATCTACCTGTAGCTTATAATTGCAGTTCAGATGTTGAAATTTGTGTGTTTTCCTTTTCCTCCTTTAATTGTGCTCGTGATATTTCCCAAACCTTACTGTTATTCCCCACCATGGTAAAATCCTTCTGAATCTCTCGAAGTCGAAGTACACTTACAGAAATTCATAGCTGAACGACAGATGCCACTTGCTGGGTTAACTTTTGCTTTGAAGTGGTTCAGTAAGTAAGAAGGGGAGAAAAAAAAGCAAGAAAAATATCAGACTGTCACCCAGACAGAAGATAAGATACATTTTTTGGAGTTATGATTCACAGTTTTTGAAATAAGTGAATATGTTTAGTTACTTTTGAATACAAATGACAAAAGTTGAACTGAGTGCTTCTAGAAGAACTGTACAAATGTTAGTGATGACATTGCAAGCTGCAGAAGAGACTTAAAACATAATGCATGCTCCAGCTTTAACCTGAATCTGAAAATTCTCCCTTGAAGTAGCTTTTTTTTGCTCCTTTATACATGGTAGCAGTGACATAGTTCTTAGCTTTGGAAAAACTGTTTAGGGTTTCCACATAACTAGTAGAAACAGACTTAAAATGTGTGTGATACTTAAGACGGATTTGTGGAGTTAATGATACTTGTTCTTCAGTTATACGAAGTAATCTGAATAATCTGTCTACAAGGGGGAAAGTCCTTCAGAATAGGCTTGTGGCATTTGCATAGTCCTTTACTGGAGGACTTCTAATCCCTTATAACTAGTTTGAACTAATTGTACTATGCTGCAAACCTGTCAAGCATTTACCCATATTACACCAGCAGAGCTGATGAAAATCATGCAAAAAGTTGTTTCTGCTCATGGAGGGAGAATGGGGGGGACGGACTTCAAAAAGTTGAGACTCTGGTTGAAATATCAGCTGAACTGCATTAATAGCTTTACCATTCACTGCAGTAGGTAGATTCTGACCCCAGCACTAGTTTTCACTATATTGAGCATACTACAAACTAACGTGCCCAGATCAACAACCATAGCCTGTTTCTTGATCTCAAACACATTGTGTGAATCAGCTGAAATCTGAAACTACACTTAGGTGATCAAGCATTAAGGATGCACATCAGACAGAAAAATTTGCAGAAAAGCAGAAATTTTCAGGAGGCTGAGGTTGCTTTGTATTTACAATGGTTCTAAAGAGGAGATTAAAATGCTCTTTTTTTTTCTTGTGCTTAGTGGAAGTATGACCAAATGTCAGCAATGTATCTCTTGCTTCAGTCCAAGAAGGCTCGTGGCAAGTGTGTTTGCTTGAGGGTTCCATGTCTAGCAGAGCATGCCAGTACAGCACAATCAGCAACTCTCCAGGTAAGTTTTCTAATTTGATGGGACAACATACTGGGTAAAACACTGCTCTGCGTTACTAAAGCTCTACCTGGGAAAACAGACTAGTGCCCTAAACATCAGTAAGAGAGCATTTGTGCAGTCAGCCACAGTCATCTTGGTCATTTAACAGTTCGGTCTCCTTGTTAACATGTTTTAACGAGCTGGACTGCTTCTGTGAATTGACATTACTGGAATAACTGTCTGGGAGGACATGGTGCATTATGAGTAGCGCACAGAATCTCCTCTTGGCTACTCATGGAAATGGACTGAAATTGCCGATTGTCTGGTCTATGTGATCATCCCAGATTTTCATCTGTGATACCTAACTTCTTACTGCATTCTTTCACATTTATCTCTAGATGTTTTTGTACCTTGCTAGCTGCATTTGTCATGGCTTGGTAAGGAAACTATTCAGAAATATCCTTGCATGTCATCTGGGCAGCCTGCTTTGAGATGACATGGACCACGAGCTCCCTCTCAAAGGGGAGAGACACATTCCTTCCTCATCTGCTTCCTTTCAGAACACAATTCCAGAGAGGATTCTGTTTATTTTGAGTAGAGGAAACGTCTTGCTGATGTTTTTCTGATGAATTGGATTCTCAAGCAGTTTTGTGTATCTTATGGTGAAGTTACTTCAGCTCTAGTGATGTCCTAGGTAAATTCATCCAGTTTATGCGGCTATTTAACATATGCATTATGCCTTCAGAGAGGGTTGTGAAAACCACGTCTACACAACGCAGCAATCCCTTAGTCCTTCTCCAGTGCTCAGTACACATTTAACTTACCTGCATGTAGATGCTGTGAGTGAATATCAACTGAATTTGCTGAAATACCCAACTAGCAAAGCTCTCTAGCTGGAGCTGATCTGATGTGAAGACAAGAAAACAGAACCCTTAACTTAGCCAGTTTCAGAATTCAGTGGCGTGAGTTTGTACCTAATGCTGCCTTATTTCAAGCAGTCTTGTGTGGAAGGATATTCCAAAAAATTCACCATGGCATGAATTTTATCTGGAACATGGTAGCCAAAGAATCCCATTTGGGCATTCATACTGTAATGGAAGGTGATTTCAGCTACAGTATTGGGCTGTTAGCTTCTTGGCAGTAGCCAAGGTAGGGCTTTTTAGTAAGTCATCATAGTAGGTCTGGTACCACACCAGGAAGCTCTAATTCTGTTCCAGTATTATTGAGAGATCTGATCATTGCAATATCTGTGATCACAGCCCAAGAGAACCTTACCTGCCCCCAGAACACAGCTTCTTAGAATGGTATCCATTCCAGCTGAGGACTGATAATTTAAAATAACTGTACGTAGTTGCACTCAAGTGGTATGAAAAAAGTCCTTGGTAAGAGTTTACTGAAAATAACAAGAGATGTTAAACTAAGGATACTGTGATGTACATCTGATTGTCTGTGGTGCGAGTCACGAAGGTTAGCAATCTTGGCTGAAGTTATGAATGCTGTGATTTAATAAATGACAACTTTTTTCAGGCCTAACAATTAGATGAAGGCTGCTGAATGCTAGTACAAGTACTGTTGCAGATTCCATAATCATATGGTTTGGGTGTAAAGTGATAACCTTTATCTGGCCCCCTTTCAGATTTTACTGCATTCTTTTCTTGGGTTCTTTCCAGCTTATTATTTGCCTTTTGGTAAAAGCAGCTTGTGGTCCACGTCTTGAAATCAAAGGAAGGTATTTTTTGTGAGTTGCTTCTGTTCTTGATACAGCTCATGAAAGATGACTTGGTAATACTTGAGAATAATTTCACATCTGCTTTTGATACAAATGGCAAATCCACAATGACAATATTAAAGTCATATTATAAAATTTAGGTCACCGGTGTGGGAACTTCCCATTAGCTGTTAACCATAACTAGGAAATTAGAAACAATATTTAGATATTAATTACACTTTTCTGATTAAATCATCCTTTTATTAGTGCAGTGGAATCTCTACTGAATCTTTCTTTTCAGTCTGGAAGAGCTATGACATATGAAAATGTACCACACTGCAGTGAAGTGTCAGATGGATTCGGATCCAGGGAATTTTCTGATGCAGCTTCACTATTTGAAGAATCTCCGCTGGAAGAATTTACGCTAAATGCTCCTGGAATAAAGCGGGTGTTTGAAGAATAAATACTAGTTCCTTTAAATAAAATCTTATTGTACATAAAACTTATTACATATTTAAATGCTTGGTGGACCCTGTCTAAAGGGAGTTACCAACTGAGTGAAGAAATGTTTTAAATACATAGTTGAACATAAATTGCAGCTTCCTCTAGCTGTAGGTCATGATTCATTTGATGATAACTTGACCTTTGAATTTTTTTTTTTGCATAAAAACAGCGTATAGGGAATGTGTATATGAGGCAATGAGGATTTTAAAACTGACAGGAAAACAATAGGGTACAGTAAACAACATCTTGGAGGTAGGCTAGAGCTGGACATATCTTTGAAGAAGTTCGGTCTGTCTGTGTTGGACAAGAAAAGACAATGAAGCAATTAAAATTATACAATTAAACCAAATGGAAATTCTTAAGTCTGTTTAGATGAGCTGGTGAGCAATAGTCTTAAATGTGCAAGCTGAAGAGTTTAGAAGAGCAGATAAAGAAATGACAAGTGACTTGAGATGGTTATTAGCAGGTTATAGAGGGAATCAGAAGTACTGAAGAGTTTTAAACTATTTTTCTTAAAAGGCAAGCATGGTATGGTATTTTTAGGCTGCTTGAATTTTAGAATTTCCTTTACTGTAACATTCCTGAATGTGATCAGAATGCAGCAAAGGATGTGTTGGGTTTTTTTTTTGTTATATCTCTTGTAGCATTCAGGGCATGATGCTGCTCAACTGGATGATATGGAATTTGCACTGTCAACTCCAGTGACAAGGAATGTGGCATCTAAGAACCATGAAAACAAAGAGAATGTTGATACAGAGTCAGCTTTAAGAAATGAAATGCCCTTTGCGCTTCCTGCTCCAAAGACTCCTTTTCTGAAGAATCAGATTGAGACGCAAGTACAAACCATACCCTTTCAGGCACCTGTCTTCAAAGGTATGTTGAATGCAACTAATGAAAACTTAGAACATATATGTTGCTTAGAAATTATGGTAAATTAAAATATGAATACAATACTTGTATATCTAATACATCTGGTTCTGCAAGACTTAACTTTTTTTTGCCATATTCACCAGTCTGGTTCTTCTAGTTCATGTGGTGAGGTGCCACAAGATGTTTAAGCATACATCAGGGCACATTATTTGCATGTTAATTACAGAAAGTCATTACTGCTTACGGTGTTGCATGTGCATGCCTTTTGGCACACGCTGACGTAGAGCCAAGTGCTCTGTTGCTGAAACTTGCATCTGGTTCCACTTCTACATGAAGGGTAAGAACACCATTTCCTCAACATTCTGTTTTTCCTTATTACCTTGCATGGAAATAAAGGTATACTTTTAAGTCTGCTTTTATTGCTGCTTCTAAGACAAGTCTAACTTTTGAGTTTCTCATGGTAGCTTATCAGCATTGTCACAGTAACAGTGTGACAGTGAAAATACTCTTGTTAACAATGTAGAAGTCTTATTTATGTGTTAGACCACAGAAATCTAAATTATGTCAGCTTTTCTGCGTTACCAGAACTTTCAGCCTGTCTAGTCCATTCTTATGAAAAAAGATGGATCCTGAATGTACCGTACCATTCTCTTAAACTATTAACATAAAAGTTTTGGTGTTGGTGCTGTAAATGCTAACTGTCCTTCAGATGCCAAGGAATCCTTGCAATCGGAGACTCTTCTGTTCCAGATGCTAAGGAGCGTTGTTCAGGAACAATGTCTTTGCAGGCTGGTTCAAGTTGTAAAGAACGGGTCTTGGACATAGTGCTGTTCAATGCCATCCTTTGTGAAGGATTTAAGGAAGTGGTGGACTACAAAGATTAATTGTTTGAGTTTGATTTTTGTGTTAAGATTGGGTGTGGTAACTTGTGAAGTTTGACTTCACAGTAAATTTAAAAAGCAACAGTAGGTACTCCTTCTGAAATGGGAAATGCAGGAACACCGTTTCTGCTCATTTTAGTTAGATATTTCTGAGAATTAAACAAAAGCTAATTCTTTGTTTCATTGAAAGATCTTTGGTTCAGGAAAGGTAATAGTCATACTTTCTGAGAGAGAGAGAGGTGGAAGTATCAGATTGAAATTTTGAGGTCATCATTGTCTAGAGCCAGGTGAAATTGTAGAGAGCTGAAACTCTTGAGCGTTGAGATTGCGTTGAGTTGTAACAACCCGTTTGCTGACCATTCCACGTGGTGTTTACTTCCACACATTCCAAATCATTTTCTACAGGGCTCTGTCGGTGTGTGGGTAGTAGAACTTTTTAGGCAGTTATGTAGTGTGTGTTATTAAACGTGGCTATGTAAACTCACACCCTTTGTATAAGGGAAATGGCGTGGCGAAGAACACAAATATTCAACACAGTGAATTGCTCAGTGTTTATTCTGGGACCAGTGGTAAAGCAAGAAAGCAATTCTAATCTTTTTCCTTTATGAATTTCTAATATTGAACTGCATTGGTCACTCTAAGGCTTGACTTATAGAGCCCTGGGGAAGTCAGCTGCCATTTTTCTTTGTCGAGTAGGGTATTATTATTAAACATATTTTATCATTCTTGAAGATATAGACCTGAGATAGAGAAGGGGGCTAGTTTTAGAAATAAATTATTAATCATGAGAAATCCTTGCTGAAGAAAAGAAAATCCTTTATGCAAAAACATACCTGCTTTGGCTTGCATGCTTTCTTTCAGAGAGCCAGTTCACTGCAGTCACCCCAATTAAGAAATCCACAAACCCAACAAACACCGGTGAATTGACAGCAGCTGAGGTTCTTTCCGAAAGGTAAATGTCCAGTTATTTGTGTACGCTTCTGATTTAGAGCATGACTACCTTAATCCATGTACTGCCTAGGAAGCCTTGTTACAACAGCAAACTGTTATTTCCATTCTCTTGGTAAAAATCTTCCTAAAACCTCTTTCTACATTCACTAGAAACACTGAAGGCAGATAAAAGTTTTAAAACTATGTAATACAATTACCTTCAGAATATATTTTTATTTACTGTGGTGTAAGTTACTTCTTATTCCAGTTCCCCAGAGGACTGCGGTTTCTGTATACAGCTCTGGGTTTCAGTCTCAACTGAGTTTCAAACAAACTCGTAGTACGCTGGACTTGCTTTGGTTTTCCTCACTTTGTCAGATCTGGTAGTATTTTAGTGATGTACCTGAAATAACTGGTTTCTAAACAGTGAGGGGAAAATAACTTATTTTGTTCATGTAACAGGAGTCATTCAGTGGAATTAGGTCTCAACCTAGCTCATGAGGATAGCAGCCAAAGGAAGAGAAAAGCTAAATTATTTGGGAGTCTTGAAAGAGGGCTAGATAAAGTGATCATGATGCTTACGCCAAGCAAAAAGAAAAAATTCACCAGAGATTGTCCGAGGAAACTTAAGGTATGATTGCTGGAAGAATCTTACATTAAAAGAATGGTTATTGAAAACATCCTTTTCCTTTAGTAATGGCCTTGTGAAAACTTACGTGACCTCACTTGCTTTCGTTCTGCAGTGAAGTGCAGTCACTCTCACTGCTTCTCTGGTAACAGGATCATGTCCCACTTATGGCTAGATGATGTTGTGTTAGTCTGGGCTCAGGCAAGTCAAGGGAAGAGTTTGATCATTGCTTTTTATATCCCATCTAAAACAAATTTGAGGGAAGCAGGATGGTTTTAAAGGAACCATAGCTGAAAATTGTGTTATTTGTGTAGAGATATTGCTAGCTCATTACACACACACACACAAAAAAAATTGGTAACATTTCTGGCTTAGGTTTCTGTAGTCCAGGAGTGATATACTTGTTCCAAGATTAAATTTAAAGCCTGAATAACTACACCATATGAAAAGATTTCTGACAATGTCAGCATACTTTTGATTTTTAAAATTTTGGTGTCACTGCATCTGAGCCAATTGGCTACTTCTTCTTTACGTAGCCATAGAAAAAGCAGTTCTTCAGTGCATTGTGCAGAGCACTTTAAAATTACATTAATAGTTTGTACCTACCAAAGCTGACTCACGAGGTTAATCTTAGTTTTGTAGGATACACATCAAATGGCGTTGGCATAATGCTAGTGTAGCGAACAGAATTGTATACATCACTCAAAAGCAACTTAGTGCACCTCAGAAGTTGTATAAGGAGGAACGTATACTTGAATCTGTAGATGACATGATTGAAAAACATGATTGACATGAAAGAGGCAAGACTCTTGTTACTGAGGCACAAACAGTTCCATAGAAAGTGATGTACACCTTCACATGACTGGCTGCTGGGGCTGCAGCTGTTAGGGCACCCACTGCACAGTAGGAGCTGTCTGTCGGTGAAAGGACCACTCTGTGTTCTGCAGCCTGTGTAAATGGAATCCAGCCACTCTATTCCAGTTGGAAGCTTTTCCAAGAGACGCTTGTTGGGGGAAAGGTGGCAGTCCTACAAGTTCAGGACATGTGTTGGGCTACAAACCTGACCAAGTCATTGGACAGGAGTTTGCACTGTGCAAATAATTCAAGAACCTGAGCAATCTGAAACAGGAGATAGGTCTTCTGTCTCTAAAGGCTTTTGTCCTTCTGCATCAGTTTCCCTTGTCCATAGTACCTGCAAAATTACTGATGCATGTCTAGGGATGCTGGAATACAATAGGGGAAGATAGAACTTTATTTCAGTGTTACGGAGGTTATGGCAGGGCGTTGCATACATTTTAGGCTCAATAGGAACTGTAAGAACCAGTCTTTTACTCTGACTTTGCGTCCTTAACCTGTGTTAATTTCTCCAGCTATTTTATGATCTCGTTTTTTCTTATCTGCTTCTGTGACTTCAAAAGCTAAATAGAAAGGCATACTTTTTCTCTCATTACACATGGATGTCTACAGTTGTTCAAGAAGTCACTTATTGGACTGTGATATGAAGTATTATATGTGATATACAACCCCTATAACAGTAAACTTCAGTAGAAAGTTACCTTTTCCCTTTAGGCATGGTGATGTTTTAGTCCAAGAAAAGCCACATGGTGCCGTGCCTGTTCCTTGGTGTCAGAAGTGCTCAGTTGTGGCCAGGTGACAGTGTGGGTGATTTCCTAGCTGTGGAGCGTGCAGGAGGGTGCTCTAAGCACAGCTGTGTGGCTCTCTTCTGCACTCCTCTCCAGGAATCTCCTCTGGCCACATAAAAGACTTGTAGTAACCTCTGTGCTGCCCCAGCCCATCACTGCTACTTTGGATTTTATAATGGATTATAGCTCATACATGCTTTGATATTAATTGTCCAGTAGTTGTTGTTTAGTGTTCCTGTTGCTACTACAGTGTCTTAATTATGATAACATTGGGAAGTTGATGCATTTATCACTAAGTTTGCTCTTTTGAATGTTTCTCTATGAAAACTTTCCATAATGTCTTCAGTTTTAGGAGAGAGATTTTTTTCTTTGACTTCTTTTTAATGAGCTGACTACTTCTAGGCACACTATAATGTTACCACCACTCAGCTGCTGAATCCAGACCAACTGTTGAATGAAATAATCACCGTTCTTTCGAAGAAGCATGTGGAATATGTTCAGAAGGGGTAAGTGTAAAATATGATCATAGAATCACAGGATGTTTGGGTTGGAAGGGACCTTAAAGATCACTGAGCCCCATGTTGTAAAAGACAACAATTTTACAGAAAGTGTGTAGAGCACTAAATGAACATTTGCAATAAAGCTTGTCCACACAATGCAAAAGAATGTTGAATGAGATGTAATAGAGCTCTCTGCCTGACAGGTATGAATGGATAATAAGGAGGTAACTCTTAGAGACTGATGGGAATCTCTTGTGAAACTGTAAATACAAAAGATTTGTTAGGGTACAGTCACATGACCAAATGGGACAATTTTGGGAGATAGTGTGGGATACCTTTTAGCCCTCATTCTTGGCAGTTAAAAGACATTAGTGTTTAGCCAAGAGAACAGTATATTTTAAATGCTGCACAGAATCCTCACAGCGTTGTGCAGATTATTTTAATTTGTAGGATATACTAACTCAACTAAGGTACTGAGAGTAGGATTGGTTCCTAGTTCTGATCAAAGCCTAATGTCTCTCCTAATGTCCCAATGCATGAAAGAAATGTTGTTCTCACCTATGAATATGTATTTTCTGAAGTTTTTTAATATTTAAATGATAGGCATTATAGAACATCAGAGTACACTTCAACCTCTGATGCATTTCCAAGCTCAAAATCTGAATGGAGAAAATCTGAATACTGAATTACACAGAAGCACCTTCTCCCCCTGTAATGATTTAGACTTCACTTTCAGTTTTTCCACTTCTCACACCAGCTGAGCTGTAACCGGCCTCTCAGCAGTGGTGTCTCTGCAGAGAGGAGATTGATCGTGTCTAGGGAAATGTGGGAACATCTCCATCCTTCCAGCTCTACACTCCTGAGAACAGGGGTCTGTGGCTGGCAGTGGTTCCTGTGGCTAGGACGTTGGTGCTACATGCTGGTACTTGGGCATAGTGACAGTGTTCTTGGACTAACATATCCAAAGTTCTTAATTCACTGAACTCTGGGTAGTTTCCCAATATTCTGAATAGCAATGGGATAATTTCTGTAAAGTGCTTTCATTCTTTAAAAATTGCATTGCAAAACAAACATTAAACAGTTCAATGATTATTCTGTTTTTCCTTTGTTTTGTACAGTTATACCCTGAAATGTCAGACACGGTCAGATTTTGGCAAAGTAACTATGGTGTTTAAGTTAGAAGTGTGTCAGCTCAGCAAACCTGAAGTAGTGGGTATCCGCCAACAACGGCTTAAAGGTGATGCCTGGGTCTACAAGAGACTGGTGGAAGACATCTTATTCAGCTGCCAAGTGTGACTGGCAGATACGTGTGCTGAGCAAGCAGCAGTTTTGTACTGAGCCTTTAATCATAATGTTTCAGAAAGGTCCTTTCAGAAAAGTAATTCTTTGTCACATTCACAGCTGTGTTTGAAAAGTCTTCCATCTTTCTTGTGTTTTTACTGTCCCTCTTTGTACATGCATTTTTGTATGTTTCCTTTAATATTAAAGCTTGTAATAAATATTTTTCAACTGCAACTCTTGTAGAATAAAATTCTGCAAGCTGTTACTCATCTTGCCTATTTTTCATGTAGGTGGGTTAAAAAAGTATTGGTGTTTGAAGATGTACCACAATAAGCTTCAGTATACAGCTATCACGTACATGTGGCACAGAAACAGTCATTTGCATAATTCTGCTCTTGTCTCTGCTTAAGTAGGATTTATGGAGATCAAGTCACAGCTGTGGTGCCAGAGTTGCACTATATGCTCAGTGTTGTACAAAATGGACTGCCTTCAATAAATGTGAAGTCAAGAGTGCTAGGATTTAAACTATGATCCCCTATAACACACTCTTGTATCTCATTACTAAGCCGCAGTGATGCTTAACAAGCGCATGTGCTTCTGATGCTCTTGTGCTAAGCGATTATCAGATCGTTTTGTTGAGAAAAACAGCACCTTTGAACTGTTGTGAACAGAGAAGAATCTAGAAGACCTGACTGTCTACAAGGAGTCTGGAGTGACACCTTTAACGGGACTGGGTGCAGAACTTAAGCACCAGAAATAAAATTTGAAATATGCAGAACTGATACATGTACATAGAGTTGGTTGGATGTTATGGTATCACCTTTGAAAAAGGTATGTGTCTTCCAAGCACACATGTTGTCTGTCAGGTAGCAATAGTTATGCCTCTAGCCTTCAGTAGCACCCACACCATGACAAATCCAAGCAGCGGCACCAGGAAGATGTATGTTGAAGCCTTTCTCTCTGCAGAGATGTCCAGTAATATCTGGACAAGTTGACAATGTGCTGCAGGTTTTTCTTAATGTACGTGAAGGCAACTGTGGCAGTTGTTGTGTGTAAACCTCACGTTATTGACCCTTGACCAAAGTTTAAGACTCACCCAGTGAAGGGCTGTGTAGGGGGATAGCTGAGTGTTGTTGGAAGCTTCCAGCCACAGGTATGAGGCATGGCTGCTAATTATAACTGTCATTTTTTTCAATGCCAAGTTGTCCCTTTGCTGCTTGTTGCACAGGTGAAGGAATAGGGACATTTAAAGTGAATTTCTAGAAAAGATAGAAACGGTTGCAAAGGTATGTGGAAGAAGAGAGCTGCTGCTCCTTGAGAAGTTTCTGGTGAAGAATCTTTAGCTGCAGAAAGGGATAATAAGAAAAGAGGGACAAAATGAACAAGAACATACAATGACACAAACCTGACTGACAGATGGTAAGAGAGGCCCTAACGAGAACCAGACCTGATCGATCATGTTAATTGATAAGGGTGTGTGGAATGTGGTAATGTTCATTTTGGAAAGGTTATCTGATTGAGGACCATGTTAAATGAGATAGTAAGGAAGAGGGAGAAGACAGAAGTAAAAAAATAGAGGGATGCAAACCTGACAGACAGAAAGATAACAAACCAACCTGGCCAGTCGCAGTAGCTGATGGGCTCTCAAGAAACTGCTGTTTCGATAAAAGCACACCTAACCTATTGTTCTAATTAGTGCTTAAAGCTTCATATCAGCACTTACATGCTTCCTGTACCTGACTCCTCTGACTGCAATATTAGGGTCCTGTTTAGTTTTCGCATATTGAAATTGAGTTTGCTAAATATCACCTGGAAAACAGCTGAAAACGCTGGTGGTGCAGCCGAGGGCTGTAGCTGATCCGTATCTGGGGTGCTGCAGTATTGTGCAAGCTCTGCTTTTGCTCACCTACTTGTTGTTTGAGTACAAACTTTTCCCCAATAATTTGGCTTCTGCCTGGAACTTGATCAGAGTTGAAATAAGGGCAGATGGACAGGATGGTTGGACGAGGCACGTTGATAACAGTCCAGCTAATGAATAGCACAACGTGTTTTAGATCACCCATCACAGCTGCAAAGCCCAAGGGATGAGGAATTGAAATGTGCGCTTGTTTTTGCATTCCCTGAGTTTTGATTTCAGGAATGACTGCGAGAGTATCCTCAAATACCCAACGGCCACTGCTCAGAAGCACATTCTGTGTGAGTAAATGTCTCTTCCCTACAGTGACAGGACACGATGTTATGAAAGGACACACAGTAATTAAGATATCTTATTCCTTCCTCCTTTTTGAGCTAAAAACAACTGGGAGATAATTGATTCAAGCTGTCTTACAAGCTCTGATGTGTGAAATAAGGTTCCCCTTCATAGGCCACCATTCTGACTTTTTTTTGTTAATATTCCTTGCTGTGAATGAATGACATCTGCTGATAGGAATCAGAGAATGGGCAAAAAGCGAGATTCATTTGCCTTTTTTTTTTTTTTTTTAAACCAAACTCCAACTACGCTATCAGTAATTTTTTTCACTCTGTCAGCTGATCTCCCGTGGAACTCAGAGGCAGAAACAAAGGTTAACAAATAAAGGAGCAGTGTGGATAATGAAGAGCACAGGTTGCATGCCAAGCTGGTGGAAGCCTCTGCGCAGAGGAACACGTGGACAGAAGATTTGTCTTGCTTCCCTGCCTTCAGACTGCTCCTCTTGCCAGCAGCCAGGTTTTGTATAAAGTTATCTATCGATCTTGAAATCAACTGGTATGCTGCACCTGGGGGGCTGTCCTGAAGTCATTCCCTTGGCTACGAAACTCTTTTAGAGCCTGAATGCAATTTATGTTCTTTGTACATGAGCATGTTCTTGGCATTGACACTAAGCTTGAGTCTTATCTCTCCATCATGCCACCGTTTGCCCAAGTCTATGAGTAACCATGACTTACCGACACGTGTTTTGTGAGATTGAATTAGCCAAGCCTTGGGGCTTCCTACCTTCTCTCCATTTCATCATCCTGATGTCAAGCTGATCTTGGTTCATCTTCCTTTGAAGGTGGGTGAACAAATGGTCCCTCTTCTTGTCAGTTCCTTTACGGACTTCATGCAATAGCAACACCCTTTGTCATCTCTCTGACAGAACTACGGTTCCTGGTACTTTCTCCTGCAGATACTCATGTTCCTTCCACCGCACATGTTGTTGGTTCCTCCTTTCTGTTCTGTTCCTCTTTGTTCATCTCTTAATGCCTTATGCCTTCTTAATGCCTTCTTTGCCTCAGTCTTCAATAGTCAGACTAGTTATCGTCAGGGTATTCAACTCCCTGAGCTGGCAGGCAGGGACAAAGACCAGAATAACCTTCCCACAATCCAGGAGGAAGCAGCTAATGACCTGCTACACCACCTGGACACACACAAGTCTATGGGACCAGATGGGATCCACCCAAGAGTACTGAGGGAGCTGGCATGGGAGCTTGCCAAGCCACTCTCTGTCGTTTATCACCAGTCCTGGCTAACAGGGGTGGGCCCAGATGGCTGGAAACTTGCCGAAGTGACCCCCATCTACAAGAAGGGCCGTAAGGAGGAGCCGGGGAACTACAGGCCTGT